AAAAAAGAATACATATATAATGGCATAATTTTGGCGTAAACATACTTTATACACAGAGTTACGAAAAATTGTGCTGTAAATGGGTAATAATGAGTGTAAGGCATTCCATTATTATCATGTACGTAAAAAAAAAAAAGATATTTACTTATAAGTGAGATGGAAATTTCAAACTATACTACTAGTAATCCCCCAAACCATCAAGGTCATCATCAAAAACAAGGAAAGTCTGAGTCTGTCACAGCCACGAGAAACCCAGGGAGATATGATTAACTAAATGTAATGTGGTGTCCTGGATAAGATCCTGGAACAAAAAAATAATACTAGAGGGCTGGGGTTGTGGCTTAGCGGTAGAGTGCTCGCCTAGTACGTGCAAGGCCCTGGGTTCGATCCTCAGCATCACATGAAAGTAAATAAACAAAATAAAGGTATTGTGTACAACTAAAAAGTAAATATTAAAAAAGAGAACACTAGATAAAAACTAAGTTGATGTAAATAAACTATGCACTCTATTAATAATAAGTTTCTATAGTAGTGACAAATGTACCCAAGTTACGTAAGATGTTAACATTAAGGGCAACTGAGTGGAGGCATATGGAACACTGTAATATGTTTATGCAAATTTAAAACTGTCCTAAAAACTTAAAGTTTATGTTTTGAAAGTAAATTAAAAATAATGTATTGCACATACCAGATTGGGAATGATAAAAAACTTTGACAACATATTTGTTTTGTTGAGACTGATGGGAAATAGATACTCTAATACATTGCTGGTAGGTAAAAACCTCTTTGAAGAATACTAGTGAAATTCAACTGCACATTCCCTTTATGTTTTAAAGATATATTCCACGTTTGCACATTTCCTTTAAAGCAGTAATTCAGTACTTATAATATCAACATATTATGTCTTCAAACATATGCATTATTTTTGTGACAGTTTATAGCAAAATACTGGAAACAGATATCCATGAAATGATATTTATTCAACAAACTATGCAAAAATTAAAAGGAAGCAAGGTCCTTAATGGACTACTAAACAATCTCCAAAATATATTTAGTGCAATAGCAAGGTTAAGCATAATACATAGTGTGTTTCTATTTGCGTAAAAAGGGTGGATGTGTTTGCTTTCATATGCACAAAACATCTCTGGAAGAACACATAGTAGTAGTGAATGCTCACAGGTATAGGAACTAGATGTCTGAAGGACAAGGGCAGGAAAAACTCTTCATTGTCTGGATTTTCATGTCCTTTGAATTTTGAACCACATGACTATAGGGTCTTGATTTAACATCTGAGCAGCCACCTTAAATGTTAACTGCCATCTTATAAGTTTCTCTTTCCTGTACTTCCTCTTACTGGAACTCCCCCCAAACCCATTAGTGACCTACCCATGGTACCATAACCCTAAGCAAATTCCATGCTATTTCATGCCACCTAGCTCTGACACAACCCCCCCCCCCACACACACACAGCCTATCCCATAGCGCCACAACTACAACTCTAGAACCTACCCCACAAAAGCTGAACACCCGAACATCTTAGGGCCTCTCTCTTTATTGTGAGATGGCCTTTGTCAGCTTTGACAAACTTTCATGTGGATCTCTGCCTGGTCTCCATCCTTCATTTCTCGCTTGCCTGTCTCTGGTTTTCTCACTTTCCTTTCAATGACTATATTACCTAGTCAATATTTTTCAATTAAAGAGCAGCTTCCTTATTTTATAAGGAATCAAAGAAGAAAAAACATTGTGTACTTGGGGGATTGCACTTCCTGGGCTTTAATCTCAGTTCTGTTTTTGACAAAATAGTACAGCAGGGTTTCGGAAGCAATCTGGACTTAAAATTTTGCTTTGTTAAGTATGTGAATTTCAGTAAGTTTCTTCAACGGATCAATGACAGCTTCCTTAGTAAAACAGGGATAATACCTCAGAAGAATAGGGCAACACAAAGTATGCTTTTAGAGTCATGCCATGATGGGGTGGATATTTATGAGTAAATATTCCAAGTTTATCCAGTAGGTTCATACTTATTCAAACTCCTTTGCATTGCCACACTCAAGAGAAAAACCAAAGAGAAGCTACAAAACGAAACAACTCCCCATCCCATTATATTTGCTATCCAGATAACTTCCAGCAGACTGAAAGTATGGTGCCTTTTATCCAACATCTATTATATGCAAATGACTGTGCTCTTGGAGTACACAAGTATACATACCATGCACCACTTTGCAGCTTAGAGACAGATCAGAGGCTGAATGTAAGCATAAAAAATGTGGGTAGCAGCATAAGCCTGTATCAGGTAAATCCTGTCAGGTGGTAGAATTGAATTCTGCTGCTCAACCAAACTGTTCAATTGGCAACTTTTTCCATGAGGAAATGGGAAAATGTGCCAAGCTTGCTACTGTATTGGCCTTCTGGGAAGATGACAAAAAGTAGAACAAACATCACACCAAACTTGTATACTTCTGATAAAAACATACAGTCTAGGGGCTGAGGCTGTGGCTCCGTGGTAGCGCACTTGCCTGGCCATGTAAGAGGTAGTGGGTTCAATTCTCAGCCCTGCGTATAAAAAAAATAAAATAAATGTCTATCAACAACTAAAAAAAATTTTTTTAAAATACAGTCCATTGGTACGAAAGTGATACACAATACACTGCAAATCCACTAGGTGGGATGAGTGGAGAATGAATGGCTAAAAGACATACTTACAGAGCTGTGGAATTGCAACTGGAAAGCAAGGTCATGAGAAATACTTTATGTACCTGTATATAACTGTAGCCAGTACCAAGTGTAGGTACCAAGGGACATTCAGAAAATTGCACTAGAAGGAAAATCAGGCCATTTCTACCTCTACCAAACTTAACTATGTAATAATAGCTATTCTGTTTCTCACAGCATCTGTCTCCCCACCTTAAAAGGATAGTAGATAAAGTATAAAAAGCTTTGAAATCTCCAGATGTTATATGTGGTTAGGGAGCTTACCATGAAGCATTTTCACAAATTCCCTCCCAGAACAATTTATGACAAACTGAAAAATATGCCTCATTTGTCTTTCTGACAATTTAACAAGGTTAGTTTAATTAAGCTCCTCCTTAATGTAGACATGTTTTCAGGGTTTTTAAGGGCTTTGTTTCCAGCACACCTCTGATGAATACATTGGGAAGCAATTATAACTCCAAAATATGAAAGATGTTAAAACTAAAAAATCTTCTCTTGAATCTACTTATCATCTAATATTAGGAGCCAACAACTGAGCATGTCTTTCAAATTTCCTAAATGAGATAGCATAAATGCTGTTAGGAAGAATAAACATAGCACCTTTTTAAAGGACAAAAATGTATGTTGACTGAGAAAGTGTCAACATAACAAATTTTAAAATTCTTGTTTACCTAATCTCTTAGCTGGTTAACAATGGCTAGGAGGGGCTCACAATTTCTGTGCCTAACAAAAATGTTGCTTTAACATTACTGTGAAAATGAGTTATTGCTTATCTTTTAAATTAATATTTATTCAACAATGACATGTTAGAACCAGAATCAGAAGAAACCTTAGAAATGATTTAGTCCAAGGAACTAGATTTCAGACAGTACATTGAGATTCCCCAGCAAGTCTTAACAGCATTATTGGATTGTTCTGGAAGCCACTTGCCATTCTCCAGCATATTCCATGTACTGGAAAAAAATATTAGACTTCCCCAAGAAAATAGAGCAACAAGATTGTGAAAGCAGTACTTTAGCCTCCATTTTATCTTACTTAAATTTACAGTAAGTACTCTGCTAACAGAGAAAAAACATAAAAGAATGTTGAGACATTGGAGAATTGAAAACTATTTTATTTTCAAAAAACAGTTGGAAAAATTATAATATGAGACAATGCATTTTTAGACAAAATATAATGCCCACAAAAATTATTTGTCCAGTTAATTGGGTAAAGAGAAGACTAAAACCATTTTTCTTCTCAAAACATTATCTTTTCTTTACTAATAGAACTTATATTGTGGTTACTGTATAAGAATTGAATCTCCATAAACAATGTGATAAATGTCTTTTATGTAGGAGATAATAGTAGTAATAATATGAACTCAAAAATTAGATATTATTCAAGATTCTACTCAAAAGTTATATTTACCTACATAAATCATTCACAAAATAAACAGTTTCTGGATTACTTTTACATTTATAATTCTGAGTGGTACAAAAACTTACCTGGGTAAGAAGTGGCTTCTTGGAAAAGTTTGGATAAGAAAGAGACACCATGCAAGTTCTAGCATTTAGCATATCCATAAGACTAATCACTAATAATCACTATCACTAACATTCACTTCAAAATATTTTTCTTCCTGTAATATATACCCGTCAGGATGGTCATGTGAAGACAGGACAACAGAAATTTAGCTCAGTAATTATAGGCAGCTGAGCTCCAGTAACTTAAAAACTTTTAAGTGGTTAATTTTATTTTAGTGTTATGTTTTCATTTAGTAGAGCATCACATTTATTTATGATTTAAGTGAAATACAAGAGATAGAATGTTCCAAAGCTAAGAACATGGCATTTTCTTGAAAAGCAAATAAAGAAATACACAAAAACCAATAACTATAAATCATATGCTAAAATCAAATAAAACACCAGGACATGTGTATAATAAAACAATAATTAAATTGCCTGAACCTTGCTCTTTTAAAAACAACCTAGTTCAAATATGCGGTATAGTTCATTGGTAAAGCACTTGCCCAGCATGTGTGAGACCCTGGGTAGGATTCCCAGTACCACACACCACACACACACACACACACACACACACACACACACACACACAACCAACAAAACATAAAATCCAACTGAAACCACAAATTCATCCTAACTATTCCTTCCTTCTCTGAATTTTTCTTTTTATTATTATCATTGGTGGTGGTGGTACTGGGGTTTTATTTTAACCCAGGGACACTCTACTACTGAGGTATACTCCAAGCCCTTGTTATTTTTATTTTGAGTCAGGGTCTTGCTAAATTGCCAGGGCAACTTAGGAGCCTTTTGCCTCAGCCTCCTGAGTCACTGGGATTATAGGCATAAGCCACCATACACCTGGCCCTCCTATGAATTTCAATAACATACATTTATAATGCATAACATACTTCCTTGTATTGTCTACATTCATTTTACACAGATAGAAACTAATCTTATCTCAAACTAGACATTAAGTTCCATTGAACAGAAAGACTATACAGTATATCACACTTTATGCTGAATCTAACAAGCACACACTAAAGATTGGTTGACATGTACTTTTGGGCAGATCTCTCTCCACATTTTAGTTGGAGAGAGAAGGAAGATGTGCATTGGCGGAAGTATGTGAATTCTAGGAGAATAAGGTATGTATTACACATACAGAATCAATATCTAACAGGTTGCTGCCTGTATAAGGGAGATAATATAAGTTTTATTTAATTCTGAGAATACTATAGTATAATTCTTCATATCAGAGTATTCAGATAAAGAGCATGCACATTTTATTGCAATGAAAGATAAGTAGTAACTGTAAACACGTCAACATCATCAAAATTTATAGGAAACAATCCAAAATCAGTATGCTAACGACATGGCCTTTAGTCAAAGGTAATCTTCACATTGCGTTCCTGCTCCTTGCTTTGAAAATCCTCAAAAATCTTTGTTATCTCTTCCACCTTCTTTTGCATCATTCCTATAAGGAAGGAAGTCACACAATCATTAATCCAAGCTCAAAATATTATAGAAACATTATAACACATTCTCCCCTAAACTATTATTTACAAAACTTTACATATCAATTTAAATAGTTTTAGAAAATACAGAAGAAAAAACACATTCATCTACTTTTTTAAAAACTATGAAAACAGTGGACAACACTGTTCTTTATCTGTTCTCCTAGTTTTCAAGGCAAATAACAGTCTACTTGACATTTGTGTTTTGTTCCAGTTACCAATTACAGCCTAAAAGTATAATTTTCTGCCAGTAAAAATAAGCTGTTGAAATAAGCATGATGAGCTGAGTTTTTGTACTACCATCAACCAATTTGGTCATTTGTTTTAGTGTTCATTAATGCTTACTAGAGGATAAGCAATAACTAGTGCCCAAAAGAAAGAAAAATTTTATGAAATGAAAACTTAAATATACTTTCTTAAAAAAATTCCAGTAAACTAGAATGGCCCTAATGTTTATTCAGTATTTAAAGTATAATACCATATTCTATCTTATAACATAAACATTCTGCAAGATCACACTTCAACAAATGACTGAAATGATGGCTCTCTACTAAAAGCCTAGAAAACTACAGTGTTATGTTGAGGCTAGCAAAATAAATCCCCCCCCCAACACCTTTTTTTTGGTAATAACTAATTGCATGGTGCAATTTTTTTCTCTAATTAAGCTTTTTTTAATGTGACAGAAACACAAATGAGCACTACAACAAACTATTAACTTAAGAACATAAGTGTCAACATAAGCACATTTTACTAATTTGCTGAGTGATTGATAAATATTAAGTGTAAAAGAGTACATTTATAACAATTTTGAAAATCAATAAAATGTCAAGAATCACAAGTCAGTGTTACTACGAGAACTTTACTGTAAATATTTTGTCATGTTTTCTAATTGAATTCCCAGGACTATTTATATATTAACATACTTAAAGATTTTTAAAGACTTTCATTCCTTATGTGAAAAAAAATGCATTAAGGTAATTATTGCCCAGAGTTCTAGTCAAATGATAAGCATCAGTGATTCTTTTTTCCCAGTATATTAAATTATATATCACATTAGAAGTAAAATGCTAGCAGTAGCCAAAATTTGTGTGTGTGGCAGGAGGGAATGTGTCATACATATTTTGATATTATTTTTATTTTTTTACTTTAAAAAATATTTTTGTTATAGATAGACACAATACCTTTATTTTGTTTAGTTTTTTTTTTTTAATGTAGTTCTGGGGATTGAACCCAGTGTCTCACACATGCTAGGCAAGCACTCTACCACTGAGCCACAACCCCAGCCCTTGATATTATTTTTTAAAATTATATTGATAAATATGAAAACAAGAAAACAATTCCATTCACAATAAACAAGATGTGGTATGTAAATAAAATACAATGCTACACTGCAATACAAAGAAATTAAGTACTAATATGTGTTATAACATGAATGAACCTTGTAAAAAACATCGCAAGCAAGAAGTATGATACAAAGGGCAACATATTATTATCCTATTTCCATAAACTCTCCATCAAAAGCAAATCTATAAAGACAGAAAGTAGATTAGGATTGCCCAGGATTTGGGATAGGAATGGAGAATAACTACAAGTGGGCAAAAGAAAATTTGGGGGATAATGGAAACATTCTAAAATTGGATTGTGTGGTGTTTATACACTAAAGACTTAATTTAGTGGCTAATGGTTAAAATTATATATTTGTGTGCTTAAAAATATTTTCTAAAAGTGATTTGTTCCCCATAAAAGATACTGGTGAAATTGTTGCAGCCAGTCTCATTCTGATTTGGGGACAGATGTTTTCTTCAACTTAGCCTACTTGCAAATATTTTTGGTAACAATTCAAACATTTGTATAGAAGATTATAAAAATAGAGATTTCATCACTAAAACCAAACACAGCTTTCTAATGTAATTACTACTTTTAAGTTATACATATAAATATTACCATATAACATTAAATTCACTGTCAAAGTAAACACTGCACTCTTATAAATATTGTTATAGTATATCTCCTTCTCCTAGAAAAATTATTGGGGCAGTAGGAGAAAAAACAGATTAACAGAAAAATGGTCATAAGATACAAGTGATGAACCTACAAGGTGATACACAATATATTTATAAACATTTTAAGCATTAAAAATATTAGTAACCAGAATGATGCAAATTAAACCAGAGAAATATCATTTTCACTATAAATTTTGGCAAGGAATGATGATGATTTCTGGTGATGGTAGTGATTACAGAAGTACTGGAAGGAGTGAGTACACTAATAATGAATTGCTGTTGAAAATATAAATCAGTGCAACTGACCTGAAAGAAAATATAAATCAAAAGTTTTTAAAGCAGATATTACTCCTGACTTAGTTTTTTAACTTCTAAGTATTATATTTATGTCCAGTAATCACTGATGTGCCTTAAACCTTACCTACATCTAGGTTTACTGTAGCACAATTTGAAGAATGAAAACATTTGGAAACATCAATAGGCTAGCATACATGTAAAATGAAATATTTACCAGCCATTAAAATGTAGAACATTTAATAACACTGAAAGATATTCATGGACACATCTCTCAACTTTGTATCTCTCCATCAAAAGCTGAATATAGTGTACTGTGTACAAATCACAACACAAATGAATAGAAAAATGTATATTGAACACCAAGCCAATGCAAAGCATAGCTAAATCCTGAAAACACAGAAATCATTAGGGCATAATCTCTATGTAGAAACTCAAATTCCAGAAAACAGACATATAAATAAATAACTGCAATACTGTATGATAAATGCTGGTAATATAATAAGTAGTATGGATACAAAGAAGATAATAAACAACTACTAGAATGATGAGTTAAGGAAGGTTTAAAAGAAGAGATAGATGTTAAATTACATCTTAATACAGGAACCACTGCAAGGCAGATAATGAAGAGCTAGGGTACTCCAGGAGAAGAAACTGTTCATCCAAAAATATGGAAGAGGAAAGAATATTGGGTTTTTGAACAAACATAAATATTTCTCTAAAAGAAATGCTGCAAACAAAAGGTAAGGTTGAAAAAAAGCAGGGGTTAGATTATACATGATAATCTAATTAAAACACAAAAATTTACATTGGCCAATCAGAATGAACAGATGAGAATAATTATCATTTCTTAGACTACTCTGAGAGTAGATATGTGAAAGTAAATTTGAGTGGAATAAGACTGGGGAAGGAAATCATCGATAAGGTCTCTAAAGAATGCATGTATTCACCACTGTTCCATTCTAAAACATCTGTAAAACAGTTAAAGAATTTACAAAAATAAAAAGAGGAAAATGATAAAAGCACAAAAACCAATAAGAAGAAATGACATGAAACTTTGAACATTGCAACTGGATTTGTACTTCAGAAACCCTAGAACTCCAGAAAGGCTATGGAATTAGTAGAACTAGGTAATTCAAAATGTCATTGAAATTGGAGCTAAAAACAGAATTATGAATGATTAAGAAGCAGTTCCTTCCTCTCCTCCACATCCTACCTCTAAACAATTCTTCCTACCCAACTTCTGCAGATGATTTTTTGGCAAACATGACAGAAACATGACAACGAGCTCTTGCAAAATAAAAATCAAGACCAAAAGCAAAGATCAATAAAAAACTTGAATGAAAAGATGAGTATATACCCCAGAAAAATTTAACAAAATACAAAGAGAAAAATAGGAGAAAAGAAATGCAGTTTAGTTGAGGATTCAAACTTCAGAATAAGTGTATTGCCAGGAAGAACAAAAATATCATAGAAAAGGAAATTAACAGAAACCTAATTCAAGAAAATAGCTGCAACTGACAAAAACAAAATGGGTTTCTTGACTCACCAATAGCAGGCTCAGTGGTGAGAGATCCACATCAAAGCTCATCATGTGATGATGAAAACAATCAGATGAAATTTGCATATTCTGAGAAAGATCTCAAAATTGTTCATGGGAAAAATATAAAACACACAAATGAAGAGGTATGAAGGTTCAGATTCAGAACAGTCTTCAAAGTTACATGATAATATAACTGCATCTTCAAAAGTTCAAGGAGAAGGAAGTAAGGGTCTCAGATGATGGGGGATTAGAGGAAGAGTACACTTCCCAGCAGTTCCATAGCACCAGACTTCAAAAGCAGTAAGACTGCTTCTCAGTGAGGGGAGTAACTAAGGTAACTCACTGAAATTCAACACTGGAGAGTTAAAGAAACCATAGAGAGATCAGACGAGATCGGGCGCGTTCAGGGTGGTATGGCCGAAAGGAGGGGTAAGACAAGATAATACAAATGGAAGAAATGATTTACAGTAGAAGGGGTAGAGAGAGAAAAGGGGAGGG